ATGCTGGGAATCAAGACAACTACTATGGCAGACGACTTCGGACTAGGTGCGTTCTACATGGTCTCCCTGACCACAAGAACAAGTTTTGATAACGAGGTCAATCCACTTCAATAAGGGTAGTGTTATGCATAAAATCTCACGTCTTTTATGCAGACAATTAAGAAATGTATATGCGTTGTATTCACACTATTTCGTTTAAGCTTAAGAATTAAGAAAAGTAACCGAATTTTGGATATTTTCGCTAAAAAATTGTTATAAGTATATTAAACTAGTGGACTGGCAGAATATTTCAAAAGAAGATAAATCAGCAAGTTTCGACGTGGTATCATGTACATAAATATTCCAATTCAAGAAGCCATTCAGGCTCTAATGCTTGCTCAAGATAAGGATTAAGAGATTAAGGAGGGAATTAATCTTAGCCTAACCTGGCAGAGGACACGACAGAGAACATATTTCACCGTTGACGGTAAATTTTAAGCATAGACATAAGGACTTGCTTAGCTCCAATTTCGTAAAATAACTACGTGACTAAGTTTGAGGAAAGTTTAATGTAATAGGTAACTCTGACAGCTAAATTGTTTACTCAATATATGGGGCATTATTTTATGATCTGCCAGCGTGAAGTAGATATTAAATTCGTAGTTGAATTGTAAGAAAATAGCAAATTACCTTTATTAGATGTTATAGTTGTTAGAGCAGAGGTGTTTATAAGAAGACAACATATGCTGGTTTTTTCTTAATTTTATTTATAACCATAGTTACTGAACAAGAGATTGGAATTTTTAAATCTTTGATCATTAGCAGTTTGAGACCTGCAAATGAAAAGCATCTGGCCGAAGAGTTAAGAAGACTGAAAGTTTTATTCCGGGAGAATAATTATCTTTTGGACTCAATTGATAATAATATATCTTTAATGAGGAATACATTTTCAGGCGGAGACTATTTGATCAGAAATAGGCAAGCTGAGACCGTTTGTCATGTTCTAATCGTGCTGTCGCGTTTTCTTTCCAAGAAGATGAGAGAACAAGTTAGGAAGGGGTGGATAAAGATCGTTTTCAAAGAAACTCTTTCACTTTCTTGAGGTGTGCCCTCTTTTAAATAGAAATATGACCCCCTATCAAGATCCAGCTGTTACCAGTTTATGCGCTCCTGTGGTCGACCTTATGTTGGCGAGACCTGTCGGCCGATCCGCCAAAGATTAGCCGAGCGCAAAAATGCTTGTAAAGGAAGCTGGGTCGAACGGTCAGGAGTGCTGATGATGGTATATCTGCTACGAAACGCAAGATAAGAGAGGTTATTAAAATGAATAGAATAGGGAGTACGTTGAATGTGATGAATGGTGGTAGGAAGTTGAGTAGGAATTAGTTATGCATAATTGAAAGATTGAAAGAGGGAGAGGGTGTCCATCTGTTGTCCAAAAGAAGACGACTCATTTTGTCAGCTGAGTGATGGTTCTAACCAATTTCACACTCGTTCAACATACATGTCAAGCTCATCAGCCAAAACAGACATGCTGGTACACACAATCCCAGCCAAGCTGCTTCTTTGGTCATTAAACTTTAATAACCCAGACTAACGGGTTCAGACTGATGGTTTCGTAACCTGACTTTCACGTGTACACACTAACATCTCATCAATCTAACCAGAATTAGATCATAGATACAGGAGCGAGGAGTGATAGTTTTCTGAAACTGTTGAACAAATAATTGGTCAAGGGGATTGAATTCCCTTGCCACTTTGATAAGTTGTAACTCTGTGCTTACAATGGCGCCTCTCACTGACGATGCCGGTGAAACGTTTGGAAATATACCCAGCCGATTGTCCAATGTTGCAAATCACGAAGAGCCTGGCAGAGGACACGGGACTAGGTACGTTCCACACGGTCTCCCTGACGCTCCGATCAAGTTGCCAAAAACTACGTCGAACCAATTATCTTAACCAGAGTTACATACATTCTCGGTCATTCTTTTTCTTTCTTTCTTGATTAATAAGCTATGAGAACCAGGGGCTGATGTTTAGCTTTTATGTAATTACCCTGAATTATGATCGGTTTTGCGTACACAGGTTAACATACATACACACACAGACGCGCTAGAGTATACATGAATTAACTAAACCTTTCTCTATCCATCTATATATCGTACAAGTTGTTTGATCTTGCTTTCGCAACTTAGTCATTTGATAGAAAGACCTATAGGAACACATCTGGTCCGGAGTTGGAACGTGGACGTGGTACATTCCCAGACGTTTCGCCGGCACCGTCAATGAGTCTTGCCATTCTCAGTGCCAAGCTACAACTCGGCAAAGAGACAAGTAAAGTCGATCTTTTGACTAATTGTCTCTTTGACGAGTTGTAGCTTGGTGCTGAGAACGGCAAGACTCATTGAAGATGTCGATTAGGCTGCCGGTGAAAAGTCTGGAAATGTAGCAAGTTCATAGTCCTACTCTGGAAATTAGCATGCATACTATGGACTCCTATCAATATGACCAAGTTGCGAAAACAAGATCAAATAACTTGTATACAACGAAAGGAGACTGCAACCACACACAATGCCATACCATCTTGGTCTTCATACCTTCGATTATATATCATAGATTTTGCTCGCAATGATTATATATATCATATAGAAAAAAGCCTGTTAGTCTTCTTGATTTAGTGGTAACTTGAGACTTTTACAAGAATGAGTTCCTGCTTTGATGATGTGCATCAGATGATGAACGAAAGCTCAGCCAATTTTTGTCAGAAATGGGGGCGGATTTCTCGTGGACAGCGTCAATCTGAACGTCGTATTAAGGCCAATCGGCCGCAGTACAACGTGAATCAGCCGTCGTCTTCTGGTGAGAATGACCTATGAATCTCTTCACTTTGAGATGAAATAAAAGTCTTCACAAAACTGCAAATGTAACAAAACTTGATTTTTGACCAAGCCGAGATACAAGGAAAAGATGTGAGATATATGGTGCCCTGAGACCTATTCACCTAATTGTGTAGGAAGAATAAAATCTCAGTCCTTAGATCACTTTAGCTGACTAGATTTTAATTTATGAATTACCGGTTGCATTGACTCCAACCAACGCAGAAAAATCCAGTTTTGGTACTTGAATACACAACCTGGTGGTGTAAATCCTGACGCGAGGATGAGACGATGGCGAGACTACTTTTCAGCTTAAAAAAATGCGGGCTTTTGGTACACCTTGTCCACAGGAGCTCGATGCAACCGCTTTAATCACAATTTGAAGGAGATGCATTCTGATAACAACAGCAGACTTTCTAATACATTTAAAAAGATGTATTAATAAAAATCAGCGGTTGGCCCCTCCGGAAACTGAAGAAGCATTGTCCTTCAGTTAAGAATACTGGTTTTTGCGAAACTGGACTGGGAACGTTACAACGCGATCCCATCAATCTCGTGATGGCATCATCATTACTGAAATATTATCTCAGAATTTAGTTATAGGTTGGTAAAACTACAGCCGGCCCACACATTTTACCTAAATTCGGCGAATTTTTTTAAGAGTTCCTAAATGCTCCGAGGGTATCTATCATGGGGGACCGAACGAAAAACTATTACTAGATTAATAATAGCAAACTAATTATTATTACTTGTTATTTATGATACCGTATTTTCCTACGTATAAGACGACTGGGCGCATAAGACGACCCCTCACTTAGGAGCAGACATTTATGGTGTGAAAAGTCGTCTTATACGCCGGAAAATACGGTAATAATAATAATATGCGTATAATGATAATAGCAAAAGTTTCTATCATTATTATAATATATATATATATATGTATGTATAATCATAATAGTATTAGTAATAATACCCGAAACACTATAAAATGTCCAAACAACTGATTCCGTGTATGAACGAATTAGAGTTTGAGCGTGAGTATGAAGGCCAAGAAGAGGTGGCAGCTTTTGAGTCGCAGTGTGAGCACCTCGTTAGTAATTGTCTGCCATAGTAGTCATGATAAATTCTAGGATTTTGTATATTCCTAGAGTATGATCCTATAATGTGGTGCCAGTTCTGCAGTGTTGCTGTTTGTTCGTTGTGTGTAAGTTACACTGCTGAGTCATCTGAGACGTATGAGTAGTGACCAGACTTCAGACTAATCAAGCTTCCTGCATTTACTCGCTGGATCATGACATGATTTGTTTCTAATTCTGACCGAATGTGTTTGTTAGACGGAATCAAAGCAATCCTATGTTGTGAAAGCATTTAGGCATTCGTCAAAAGCCATATAGTCTTTTTTTAACATTTAAGTAGATATTTTGGCTTTTGGTCACAGAGACAAATTGGTCGACTCACTGACGAAGTTGACTTGAGTTTCAACGAAACGCCCAGAAATGTAGCAAGTCCAAGGGCCGACTTTTGACATTATTATGATTATATGGTCACACCTGAAGCCACTTAGGCTTACTCACGTTCCTATATTCATTTGGAGTAGTTTCCGAAACTATCAGTCAATCTTGAATAAGAGTCTCATTTCCGAAATGATTTTGATAGGCCTCATGTTCTCATACATAGTCTTTATTTCCATAAAAAATTCTCATTCAGGCAAGAGTAAAGTGCATTTTCAATCTCGAAACGAGTCTCATCAAAACCTCCATTGGAACCCGAACCTGGATTGTACCAGTGAAGTGTATCATCTCGACACCTTGACTGTAATAAGTGACTTTGAGTCACAGAGCAGACGTTAATTTCAAAGAAGGCCAGGCCCCTCCCATATCACATTTATAGAGAGATTGTCATTGAGGCGAACTTGAGTTTTGGCACTATAATCGAATAGATTAAGTATATTTGCTTAGAGTATGTCCCTTCCAGATGAGAATATCATTTGGGAAGCAATGGAAATGTGAGACCTCTTTATATAATTTAGAGTGAGAAAATTAGATTATCTTCATCATCTTATGCGAGCTGGACGGACAAAAACTCTTATTCAAGCTTTACGGATAGTCTCAAATCCCACTTCCTCACAGTCAATTCAGACTAGCGTGTCAAACATACACATTTGCTTATTATTCATTTATAAGTAGGTTTTAAAGGCAAACAGTAGATCATATATATGAGATGTATTCAATCTATTTCGTTTAAGATGATAAGAGGACTTTTAGTTGAATCTTTCCACATTCATGTGAGTTGGCCTTACGTAATACATGCGAAGAAAAGTTGGGTTTCGAGGAATCTCTTGTTTCATAATTGTTGGGATTACTTCCATTTCGAGTGAAGGTGTTGGGTGAAGAGATTTGAAGGTCAGTTCCACCAGAAGACGACGGCCGATTCCTCTTGACCAGCTGTCGATTGGCTTTACTGCAACAGTCATGGTGATGCTGTTTCCGAGGCAATCTTCTTCGATTCCGGTGAAAAGGTGCTAAGCTTTCGTCCGTCATGTGACGAACGGAACACGAGTTTGAATTGTCTCAAACTTGTTGTTTTGCTGATTATGGCATGTTTGCGGCTAAACGTAAAATTAGAGAAGCCATCGAAATAAACCGAACAGGAAATACTTTGAATGTAAGGAATACCGGCGAGAAGATAAGTAAACATTATATGTGCCTACTTAATAGACTGAAAGATAGAGAGGGAGTTGAGCCGCCTGCAAAAAGGAGGCGACAAAATTAGTCTTTTCTTGTCTTGGTTCTAATGATAGTCACTTCTCTGTACTTTTAGCTCACTCTTTCTCTCTCGCATTGAGACCAAAAATAAAAACAGTGATGGTATGTAGAAAGGAGGAGATAATGGTCATCAAACCTTGAAGGCCAAAAACATAAGTTCCTTTTTGCTGTCCTAATTACTTTAAGCCATCACTGCGGCTTTCGTGCATAAGCGAACACAAAC